AAGTGAGGTAGGCACAGGACACGTGCCACGCCCTCACCGCAGCCTCTCCTCCAACGGGCCTCAAAACTAATCCTATAGCACAGGTATTACCCGCAGCTGTTTCCAAGGACACTTTTAGTTTTAAGGCTGTTTTGAGATGATTCACCCAGACTGTTAACCACCTCCGATCCTTGCACCACACCCAAAGTTTCACCTCGTGCCTCGCCCGACCTAGCAGCAGGAGTGGGGACGATTAGCAGACGAGGGAGCGCAAGTTAACGGTAGCTCATCTCCTGATGTAGTGTTGCAATTGTTAATCGATGTGGCATTATTTAGAGCCTAGGCACAAGGCTCATGGATGTTGTTTTATAATCAAAAGCTAATAAAACCGTTTAAAACTTCCCATGTTTCTGTTGTTTCATTGAACCAAGTTTTCCACTTCCAAGAATAAAAGGGTGTTTGAAATAAGAATCCAGAATCTTACTTTTTTGCTTTGTTTTAATCAATAACTTTTGCAGGGGAACAGCGGTATAGCACAATAATGATTACACTTAAATACAAAGAGATTATATGATGAATAATTTTCACTTCTTAGTTCATTTTCCAGTTGTTGACCTTTCTTGGGCAAGGTAGATTCCCGTTCCTGTGGATGGGCTTGAGACGGGCTCTTGAACTCCTCTCTGTTCAGCCTCGGACTCCTTTTGGTCCGGCCGGCCACGCCCGGTCTCACTCAAGAACACAAGTACCCACACAGTTTACTTACTCTCTCTACCTGACCCAACACATTATTTCTCACCACAAAAAGACCCTTCTACAACTCTGACCAACCAGATTTATAACATAATAGATTTTTCTGCCTGTCGATTCATACACCGCTGTTTTAATTTGAGATAAGGTTTTATTAATGACTAATTTTGAGGAACGTCCCCTTACCATCCTGATGCATGCTCAATAATCCAGGTAGAAAAATCCAAAAAGTTCAATCTGGTCCTCTGGACATTCAAAAAAAAAAATTTCAAAAAAAAAAATATATATATATAGAAACGTTTCATCTCTCATCCAAGAGACTTCCTCAGTCTGAGGTGCTGTTTTCAGCTCAGTCTCTTAAATAGCACCTTCTCAGAGTGGATCAACCAGTTTGCTGCTGACAACCAAAACCAGCTGCTCACATGGTCAAGAAGGACCATCAGCCTAACAATGGATCATTAGCACACTGATGGCTGTTTACTATTCACAGAGGGCTGAGTGATACTAGAAATCACAGCATTGTAAGAGGGGGACAGTTGAACCCGGAGGCCTCCACCCCTGTTTAATGATGGACGATTTCTTTTCACAAAGATGGCCTCCTTTACTCCTCTCTCAAACCATCGTTCCTCTTTATCCAGGATGTGAACATCTTCATCCCTGAAAGAGTGACCACTGGCCTGGAGATGAGTGTAGACCGCAGAATCCTGGCCTGATGATGTTGATCTTCTGTACTGGGCCATCCTTTTGGCCAGTGGCTGTTTAGTTTCCCCG